ATAATTCACCTTTGTCATACAAGACAGTTGTTGATTCATACCACTTTCCTTCGAACTTGGCTCTGATACAAATTATTTGAAATAAAATATTTATAAAGTAGAAGAGGATGATATTGGGAATGACAAAGTAGAAAAAACTTATATAATATTTTTGTTTTCTCTGTTACATCAAGATGACAAGGCCAAAGTCTTATTTATAATTGTACAATGACCGTTCTAGAATCAATATAAAGAATTATATAATAAATGTTCAACCAACAACTAACTAGCGAAGTTATTCCATATTCTAAGGAATTCTTCAATATAGTTTTCAAGATACAAAAAATAAACACTTGATAATTAATTTTACTTTAAATTTTTAAATAGGAATCACGGTGGCTTCAAGGATGTTGAATGTGCCTAGCTTGTCCATTTCAACAAATACCCCCTTAAAGATGAATAAAAAAGAGCTTCATTTACACACTATTTGTGTCAGATGGGTTGATCGAGTTGCAAAGAGAAAAAGACAATTCAGTCTATGTGGAGAAGGAACACAAAGTCCATACTTTGAATACCAATCATCTTTCGTAGATGATAAGGCTTTCCTTCATCATCTGCCTTTTTATTATCATACATCTCCTGAGTATGTCTTAAAATTGCATAGAATTTCGTTTCTGCAGCTCAATCAAGCATACTAAGGTCGGAAGCATTGGGCTAAGTTGAAAGCAGCATGGGGTGAGAATTCTAAGTATATGTATCTTTAGCTTTTGAATTCATTTTAGAAAAGATTTCAAAGCCAATTTGTTAAATTATGGGAACAAATGGTGCTAGAAGCTCAACTTGATGCCTTCAAACTTTTTCCAAAGAATTTAAAGAAGCATGGGTAAATTATAAGATGATAGCAAACATTTAGTTCCTGGTTGTCAATTTTTCCTAAGCTTATAGCCCTTATGAGCTCAGAAAGTTAATTTACATGTTATTTTATCATATGTAAGGTAAGTAAAACTTTAGAGCAGGTTTCCATCATTTGTCTTTGCATGCTATTATTGTATGGGATTTTTCATAGTTTTTAACCATTTGGGTGCATTTTAATTGCCAAATATATTCAACTAATATAAACTATAGAAGCACTAAATGTCAAAACTTTGGCAAGAATTTTAATATTCTTATGAAAATCTTAAAGAAGTTGTGTTAATAGAAAATATCTAGGTATTAAACTATGAATATGAAGAAAGAGGATCAAATGGCAAGGAGAAATTGTGACAAAAGAAGGAAAACTCTCTCTTACATGATCTACCTCTATATATGTCTCTCTTGTTACAAGTAAAAATTGATGTGTGGTGAAGCCCTTGAATATTTAATTTAAAGATAATATCTCTAAATAAATTGTACACTCAAACATAGTTGTTTGTCAATAAAAATCAAATGTTTCTACCAAGTTCTATTATATCATATTCTTTTACAGTGTTCTCATTCTACATGCTCAGCCTTTTTTATATGTTCCAACATCGTTCGGTGGATAGTGCTTTGACACCATAGATCCAATGATGCCATTATTGTGTGTTAAGTGTTTGTGATGATATAGGAAAAAATGATCCTCTTACATTGAATGAAAATTTTGCATATACATGTAAATAAATTAAGAGCAATTCATAAGTGTCATGATATTTTTGTATTTAGAAAACTTAAGGGAAAAATTATGGGACATTAGCCAATTAAAAGAACTCTATTGTTATAAGTCGAATAAATAAAAATAAAATTATAAGATAATTTAATTAAAAAATATTCTATTTATTTAAACAGACATAAGATGAATTAGATTGAAATAAAATAAAAACAAATATGATATTTTAAGCTAATAATAAAAAAATCTTAAATTTGTTATGCCAATCATATTTTTCAACAAGGAGATGCAATGTCAAATAAAGGTATATCATCGTAATTATATGACAAAATTTTGGATTATATGACTATATCCAGGAAAAATGAATATTATGAAAGGTGTGAGTTAATCAATAATTTTAATTTCATTTATTTTTATATTTTTTATTTATTTTTAAATTTTAGTTAGTATTTGTGAACTTTTGGGGCAAGGGTCATTTAAAATAAAAGGTAACAATGGCTTCAATTGGGACAGTTTCTTACCATTTTACTTTTCAAATATCAGCCACAATTTTTGGTTGACCACTACTTTTTTATTGTCTTCAAAAAAATTTGTGCCAAGAAATTATTCTCTACAATAGTTTTAAGGAAAATTGCTTTTTATAAATATTTTATAAAATAGTAATAAAGCTATCCCAAATGAATCATATATTATCAAAGTCTCTATAAAATTTTAATAATTTATGTTTATTATATGAATTCCAATCGTATGAATTTGACAATGAAAACAGAGACAAAAAAATAGAAAAAGAATATTTTCTTCAATTGTTATTGTTGAATCCTCATAGCTTCTAAAGTACTAAATTGAAGTAGCTTGTGTTGCTTACATGTTTGCTCAAATAACTAAAATAAAACTTTTTAAGCAGTTTGAAATTTTGGGCTGTAGGAATTTCTAGTACATTCATCAAAATTGGCTATAGATAATATGAATATGCTATGTTTTTGAATGACTATAAATTATAATGATTTTTTAAAAGAGATAACATAAATTAAATGATAATTTTTTTTAATGGCATATATACATGCATAAAACATTTCATCTACTTAGAGTATTTATCAAATAAATATATGATTTGTAGGTTGTAGCAATAAATTTTCTCGTGATAAACAACAAAATTTTACTTTGTTTGGCTCTAGGTTGGCCCTTAAATAAGCGTATTAAATCAAGTAATAAAGTGATAGGGTAGAGTGTCAAAACTCAAGAAAAATTCTAAGAAGCTCATAGCGTCGCGGTGCCCTTAAAGTGAACTAATTCCTCGGTGCTAAAACTTTTGCTCTGCCATGGCACTTGTTGACGTTGATCGATTACTTTGTAAACAATTGTGTATCTTTATTGAGAGAAAGTGGCCCTTGAAAGTTGTAATTATAATGCCATGATGTTGCTGACATTCGAGCGTTGTGGTGCCAGAGCGACAAAAAATGGCACTAAGACGTGAGTGATATTGCATTACGACATTTGAAAATAGAGAACTTGGTAGCAACACTAGAAGAGTTATAACCATAGAGCTAGAAATTTGAGAACTTTATGCTGCGATGTCAAAATTATGGTGCTTCTAGGTGTTGAAGTTAGCACTACTATGTTATTTTGTCAGATGCTACGGCGCTATGGGTTTTTTATAATTTATATCATTTTTGAGATTTTCCTATATAAAAATAACTAAAATATCACATTTACACTAAAAATAAAGCACATAAAATAGTACATAATTAAATCAAATAAAATATACGAGAAAGTTAAATTACTTTAAATAATTTTATATAGTCATTATTACTATATAATATTTAAAATTAAATTGTATTTAATATTTAAACATTTTTTGAATTAATATATTATTATTCAATGTTCAATTAAACTATTAATTTGTTAACTAATCCTAGTTTTTAAATAAACTATAATTTAAAATATTTTGTGATAATATTAGATTAAATTGGTGATAGTATATTTATAAATTTAAATTTGTTACTATCTAATTCGGTTCTTAATTTGTTTAATTCAATATCTAATTAATTATTTTATAGTCTCTTAATTTATTTTTCTTAACTATTACTTACCCATATATTACTTTCCCAAAATAATTTAAATAGTAAAGTTGACAATCACCTCAAATGTTTGTGCATTCAATAAAATTCATCGAATAAATATTTTAACACATTTCATTAAATACATTAAAATTTTAGTGAGTTATGTTTACTTAAATTTTATTAATTAGGTCACCACCAACTCAACTTGCACATGTGACGGGCTCTAGCCGACTCACAAGCCACCACCTACCCTGTCTCACGTGTGTAAGTCATAACCCCTCCATTCATTTACTCTTTAAATGTTTTTTTATTATCTTGCTGAGATTAAAAGTCGATATGACCGTTACAGAGTATAGACCTCTCGTATGCTATTCCAAAGTCATCATCTTCTCTGTGGTGTCAGTTCCTTGTCTTTGTTGGAGAAGCCCATCGTCGACGTAAAGACCAATAACAAGAATTCCTTCGATAAAGACTTGCCGGAGGCCGATAGTAGCATGGAGGTTTCTTTCGGGAAAAATCTTTTGTGGCTCGAGGCAAGTGATAGGTGGCAGGTGAGGTTTTCCTTTTTCACCATCATTTTCCTGTCCCCTCTTATTTTATGTAACTAGGGTTTAAACTATTTTCAAGAAATGTAATGATCGCGAAGAGAAAGACGATGCCGGAGAGACCTTTAGCGACCTTGAAGAAGAAACCTACTCTATACAGAACCTTTGGGCAACCAATGAAGGGGATGTTAGTGGATAGGTTCAATAAGAAGCTTGGAGCTAGTCCTAGTCTTCAGGCTTTGCAATCATTTTCGATCGACTTTAGATTAATAGGTGGATCTCTGTTCGGGAGGGAGCGAAACCATTTAATCTCGCACTTGTTTTTTTTTTTTTTTTTTTGGGAATTTTTGGGGTAGAGCCCATTCATTAATATGAAAAAAATTACAAGTAAAGGAAAAAGCAGAAATAAAAACAGAAGACCTGTGAAATAAAATCCTAAATCTCATGATCAAAAAGAGATTTAGAATTCTTAAGAAGCAAAAACATTACAAAAACCTACTAAAGTAGAGAGGGGAACATAGTGGCAACAACCACGAAGGACTCAGGTCGCTCAAGTAAGCATCAAAAGTTAGTCGAGGAGCCGGGTCAGATACAAGAGCGGAGCCTCTGGTTGCAAAAAAAAAAGTCCAAGAGGCAGCTGTAGCACAGCATTCATCATCATCCTTCCAAAAAATGACAGTGCTCGGCCATAGAAGTCCAGAAATCAAACAGATAGCATCATGCCAAAACACATCAGCAGCAAACTACTCGGAATAGCATCAGAAAACCACCAGGAAAACCTGGGCCAAAAAATCATGTTTTCTTCCATCCTTGCGTTTTCCATATCACAGCCTTCTTAATTTTTGAGATCACAGTGTTTTGGTAGTCCACGATACCACCAAAAATTCTATCATTACGGGCTCTCCATAGGAAATAGATCATAGCAGAAGCAGAAAGCAGATAAACATTAGTGTAGTAAGAAGAATAAGCTTGGTCCGAAATACTGTTAAATAATTGGCTCAAGTTTGGTCTCAGCAACCAGTTATTAAGCCAAGGCAACACATTTTTGGCAATGCTGAAACAAAAATCACATTCAAAAAACAAGTGTGTAATAGACTCCGGGTAGTTATGACAAAAACAACAGCAATTTTGAGTAATAATTCCCCGGATAGCAAGAGCATCAGCAGTTTTAAGACCTCTTTTGAAAGCCAACCAAGTGTAAACAGCAAAACGGAGGGAAAATTTTTTGTGCCAGATCTGTTTAAACCACTCCACAGTTTCCAGGTGAGCATAGAAATGGGTAGTAAAATTGGTAAAAAGAGGATTGTGGTTACCAAGCCAGAGATGAGCAGCAGGTTGGTTCTCGATTTTTACCGCACGGATGAGGCTACCAATGTAATTATCAAAACAGTGTGGAATTTCCCATTTCATATCCAGAATAAAGCTAGAAACCTTCAGGTTATAAAACTGGGAGAAGTTGGCAATAATATTCTTTTCTTTCAAATAGTCGGCAATAGAGATCCCTCCACACCAAGGGTCCCAAATAAAGGAGAGTTTACTATCAACAGTCATAGTGTAAGAGAGGCAATTTTTGATATCTAAAGCTTTGTCACATAAAAATTTCCAGTATCTAGAGCAATTACCAGGAACATCACACCACAGAGAATGGTAATTCGATCTCCACCAATGAAACAGTAATCAATCATAGTTTAAAAATCTTCAAATAAGCGAGCAAGAAGTGCTGTGATAAAGAGAATCGATAGATGCAATGCCCAGCCCCCCTTTATTCTTTGGGGTACATGTGTCTTTCCAAGAAATCAAATGAAGTTTCTTTTCATTGATGTTGCCATAAAAAGTGAATCTAGAACACATTCTATTGATAATTTTGCAGCAGCTTTTAGGTAGAATGGACCCTCTAATCCAGTAGGACAGCGTATTGCAAATAGTAAACTTGATGAATTGGATCCGGCCAGCCAAGGAGAGAGTTTTGGCTTTTCAACCGTCTAAAAGCCTGGAAATCTTTTGAATCAAAGGTTGGAAATCAGCCACTTTGAGCTTTTTGTAAAAAATTGGCAGACCTAAGTATTTCAGAGGGGAGAATGACTGCTGGATACTAAGAATGTTGCATATTTCATCTGCATTAGTAGTGTTTTTTGAGAAAAGGATGGAACTTTTAACCGGATTGACATGGAGGCCAGAAGAAACAGCAAAGTCCCAAAGCATAGCTGAAAGAATTCTGTCATTGTGAGAGGAGGCTTTCCCAAAGACTAACAAGTCATCAGCATACATGAGATGGGATATATGACAATCTCCAACCTTGAAAACTTCAAAGAGGAAGGTAGAAGTTGCACAGTCTAAACGAGTAGATAAACAGTCCATAACAATACTGAAAAGGTAAGGGGAGAGGGGACAGCCTTGACGAATACCGGATGAGGAGTTAAAATAACCTTCAAGACTCCCGTTAAGGCAAATGGAGTAATATACATTGGTGGTACAAGCTTTGATCCATTTGATGAAAATTTCAGGGAATCCTTTAGCTTCAAGTCTTTTAAAAAGGAACTCTCTAGATACAGTGTCAAAAGCTTTAGTAATGTCGAATTTAGCACAAAAATACTTTTGCTTGCCTCTATGATTGAAATTCCAAAGAATATCAGCGTCAAGAAGAATATTGTCAGAAATGACTCTTTTATGAATGAAACCTTCCTGGCTGGGATGAATAATGAAGGGCATCACCTCTTTCATTCTATTAGCAATGAGCTTTGCAATGATCTTATATATAACATTGCAAAGGGAAATTGGTCTGAAGTCTTTGATATTGGTTGCATGATCACATTTGGGAATGAGAGTTATGTCAGTGGCTTTCAGCTGGTTGGGCATGTACCCGGTAGTGAAAAAGGAGGAGACCGCATTGCACAGCTGGTTTTGGATAACATTCCAAGTGGCCCTATAAAATTCAAAAGTGAAGCCATCAGGACCCGGGGCCTTGTTTTTAGAGCCTGAGAAAACAATGTTCTTAATATCTTCTTTGGAGAAAGGTGCAATGAGTTGAGCAATAAGATTGCCAAGGATAACATTTCCAGCAGGGAAATTATAGTTAGACTGCTCAGCGGTAGGGGGGGGGTATTGAAAAGTCTGGAGAAGTGGCTAATGAACTCTCTCGCAATGTCCTGATGAGTAGAGAAAATCCCATTTTCCGTGACAATGTGCCTGATGCGGTTCTTGTTTTTGCTGATGTTGACTTTAGAGTAAAGGAATTTTAGATCTTCTTCTCCATACGTTAGCCAATTAACTTTGGCTCTTTGACTCATCCAGCTAGAAAGAGTGGAATGATAGAAGTTAAGCTTAGTGTTGATGTCTTTAAGATTGACATTAAGCTGACAGTCAAGGGGAATCATTTGAATACTGGAAAGGACATGATATTGTTGCAGCTTGAGTGAACTGATCTCAGTTTGGATGGTATTTGCATTGGACCAATTTTTATGCTTCAGGATGGACTTGATGGTCTTAAGTTTGAAAAAAAAGGAGCTTAAGGGGCTGCTCTCATTGTTTTGGGAAAAAACATCAAAAATAGTGTGCCAAAATTCCGGAAATCTGGAGCAAAAATTTTTGAACATGAATCTGTGACCTTTCTTTTGCTCCATGGTATTCAGCAAAACCAATGGAGAGTGATCAGAACAATTTGGATCTGCAACTTTGTAAAAGGAGTCAGGGAAATAAGTAAGCCAAGAATCATTAACCAAAATACGGTCAAGCTTGATGTGTATAGGATTAAGTTGTTGCTGATTATGCCATGTAAAGAAGTGGCCGACCGAAGAAAGATCGCAAAGACTAGTATTAAAAATCATGCTGTTGAAGTCCCCAAGAGTAGAGTTGTTAAGTGGAGAGCCACCCACTTTTTCATTGATAAACCGGCAGCAATTGAAGTCACCTAGGATAGCCCAAGGGAGAGAGATAGAGCTTGCAATATCCTGAATAGAATTCCATATAGCAAGCCTATCCGAACGGGAATTACTAGCATAAATAGCAGTAATGGCACAAATGTTGGTGGAGTTAACAGAAACAATGCCGTGAATGAATTGGCTAGACATGTGATTGGGGGAGAAGCTAACAGTACCAGTGTTCCATTTATCCCAGATGCGGCCGGGGTTAGAAAAAAGAATGTTGTCACAAGAGTCTTCATTGGGAAAGACTTTGTGATCGGCTTGAAACCAATAATTGGACAAGTTATGGGGGGAAATTTTGGCTTCAAGAATAAAGAGAAGGTCAAGGTTATGGTCTTTGGCTAGTTGCTTGCAGCAGAGAACCTTGTCCGGGCTGTTAAACCCACGAACATTCCAAGCAGCTATGTTAGGAAGGGTCATTAATTCTTATGGGATGGGGTAGAGGCTTTCTTAGCTTGCTTGCCTCTGGTTTGCTTTTGATTTTGGTTATGGGTTTGTTGGGTTTTGGTGGAGTTAGAAGAGGAGGTGGAAGGTTCTTAGGAGAGATCTGTGGTGGGTTGAGGGATGGTAGGTTGATGATTGCGTGGGGAGGTTTGAGGTGGGCTATCATTGTTAGAGGCAGTAGGTTGGGTAGTGGCTTGAAGGGTTAGGTTGGCTGAAGAAGTGGGGTCATTAGTGTCTTGAGAAGCTAAAACATCAAACTTGTTTTTGGTGTTGATGAGGTTTGGTGTCTGGGCCGTAGATGGTTGGTGGGCCGAGTCCAGAATTTCTTCGGATGGGGAGTTTAGATTCGGGATGAAGGGGGCAGTGGTGAGGTTCTGTGGTGGGGGCTGGATAGTTAACAGGGGAGGATCTAGTCAGTTTAAGGGGAGGACCTGGCTTAGGAATAACCAGCTTCAGAGGCGGGGTGATTCTGGGTTTGCGGCTTGAGCTTCTGCCACGATGGCGGGAGATGGGTTATGTTTTTAGAACTGGATCTTTTGGGCATAGGATGGGAGGGTGCATGATCGATCCGCATTGGGTGCATCGTTCAGGTTTCCAGTCATACTGAACACAGAGAGGAGATGATTTTCCATCCACAGAATAAAATATTTCCTCCGGTAATGGAGAGTTGCTAGTAACTTGTACACAAACTCTCGCAAATGTCAGTCTTGTTTTTGACGTAGTTAGGGCATCAACAGCAATCGGAACACCAACACAGCTAGCCAGCTTGGAAATTCCTTCAAGGGTCCAAAGAGAGAGGGGAAGATTCATGATTTTGATCCAAAGAGGGATGGAAGGGAACTCTTCCCTCTTTGGAACAAAATCAGGGGACCATTTTTGTAAAATAAAAGGCTTGCCAAAAAAAAAACCATGGTCCACCAGACCAAGCATACTCGTAATCTTCCAAAGCAGTGAATTTCAACAGAAAAAACCATCATTAAGGGTAAGGAGAGTGAGAGAACCTTCTAGAGGCCAAGTCTTCTTGATGGTCGAGAGCAGGGCTTCATAAAAAGGCCTTTTACCGATAGAGTAGCCGATCAATGACATAGACCATTCCGGGGCTCCGACGATAAACTATTCGTTGGTGAACTCAGCAGTAAAGTTATGATTTGGGACGAAGGAAAGAGAGTGAGAAAACTCTGTAGATATTGGAGGTGTAGTGGTGAGAAGGTTATTCCATAAAGGAAGAATAGAGGTGGCCTGAGAAGCTGTGGCGGGGGAAGAGGAGGGAAGCGGAGGGAAATCGTGAGCAGCCATGGGGGAAGAGCCCCCCGGCTAGTGTGGCGGCGAAGGAGCAGCAAAATCGCAAACCCTAGCAGAGAAAAAATATACAAAACTTTCACGGGATTGTGTAATATATGAATATCCCGCACTTGTTGTTTAAGGCAAAGACAATGTCAATGTCGGAGGTACCACATAAATGAGCAATATTTCAACGTGCATGGAAGAGGAGGTTGCTAATGTTTGTGCCTCAGTAGAGGAGGATGTTGATGTCTTTATTAGGATGAACAATGAATTTCCGTATAGTTCAATTTCCACTATTGGTGACGAGAGGAATTCGTAAGAAGATGAGAGTTCATCATAATATTCTCCCTCTTGTTTGTCGGAGAGTTTCTTATCCCAGATTGATTCCAGATGGAGTGATACAAGCTCTTTTGGTTTGAAGAAGGTAAGCCATCTGTATATATTCTTTTTTTCTGTTGAGGAATGGATGTGCTGAGAATTCATAGGATGGATGTGCTAAGAATTCATAGGATCCAATGATCGAGTGTTTTGTCAAAGATCTTCATTATTCGCTCTTCTTTTCTTAGTGCATCATACTGTATTGGTGACTAGTTAAAAAGAACAGATGTATAACTAAATTTTTTTGTTGTATGGTATTATATGTTTATCTTATTAATTAGCATTCTATCCATCACCATATTATTGGAGAAACATCATTATGTAACCATATTTCCACAGCTTTGTCCTATTCGATGTTTAGGGTAGTTTTGGCATAATAAACAAGCAAATTTTCTGCATATAAATTAAGATATATGTAACTGGAGCATTACTTGTTAACTTTCATAATTGTTTTTTTTTTTCTTCTGATTTTCTATTTTTTGATTTCTTTCAGACATCTAACAACTAAAATTGGAAACTTGTAAC